AAGACAGGGACGACATGGCATGCGTTGTAGCCCATCTCTACAGACGTGCCGGAGCTGATACCGGCGGCGTACAGCGCAAGTACAGGACTCTGGGCAAAATGAACGGCTGTCACCCCGTGTTTTTCCATGAGAATTTCCGCCAGTTTCTGCCTTTGCGTGCGGGGAACAAGCACCTTCTCGGTCAGTAGCAGCGGGGTTTGCACCTCCTTGGAGTTCAGCTGCAGCAGCTCATCCAGGTAAGAAAGCAGCTGCTCCATGGCTTCCCAGTCCACCTCGCCATTCTCTATGACGCGGGAGACCTCCGTCGTCGCACGACAGTTATAAGCCTTCTTAAGGCAAAGTGAAGAGGACTCTTTTCCGGTGCCTTTCACGACACATGTGGGCTCGTCAACGCGGGGTTTGTCATCTCCGGCAAATCCAATCCGTGTGGTGTAGCTCCCAATGTCCACAATGGCTGCCTGGCGATGCACCACAGCAACTTCATCGGGGAGAGGAATATTTGAAAGTATTTTCGCGGTTCCCTCCGCAATCTGCATCTCCTTTGATAAAAACAACAAAAGGGAGATAATGTCACTATAAGTATCTCTTTGTGTGTATTCAATTATTTTTCACGTACAGCGCCGATGAACCACCCGAAATTGCTGTGCTGCTGGATGATTCCTATCCCCCCTTCTCCCCCAGACACATACAAAAAAAAAAAAAAAGAAATATATATTTACGTCCATACACGCTCATACATGCATATGCACAACTTCATATTTCCCTTCCTTTTTTTCTTCTTCCTCTTCTCCAGAATTCCACATTTCTCCATGACATTTCATATAATACATTTTTTTTCATTCTGTCTTGCTTAAGTTTGATGCTGTTCTCCACTCCTCATGTTTCTTCCGTCATTTCAGGCCAGAAAGCAACAACAACAACAAAATATACCCCTGCCACACTATCGGTAGCACAGCGTGTTTGCCGTAAGAATCTTGTCCTTTGGAAAGTAACAGAAATCCCGCTTCATGACACTCATGTAGTCCCGCTCCAGCGGTGGCAGCGGCTCCACGTGCGGGTGAGAGCGCTGCATGTGTGAGAAGTTATAACTCTTCGCCGACATGCCCAACGCCGTGTTTAGTGCATCCTGAACAAACATTGACTTTGAGATGGCGAGAGGGTCCCCATTCGAGTCCCACTCGCGTTGCGTTTCATTCATCGTTGGCCTCGCTGGGGCGTCTGCATCCCACTCACGCAGCATGTACAACTCAAATTGCTCATCCAGCGGGAACTCCGGACTGACGGCGGAAAAGAAGGCAACAAACTCCTCGA